AAGAGAGAGAGGAAAAGAGAGAAACGTAAACGAGAGAGAGAGAAGAGAGAGAGAATTGAAGGAAATGAAAACGGAGGGATGATATGGGAGCGGCGCCCTCCAAGAGCAAGGGATCATTGATGGGGCTCTCTGGAGAAGAGAACAAACAAACTTTAAATCAGAAAAGATGAGAGAGGCCATGGCCCGCCGAAATGGAACCCACTTCTGTATGCGTGTGTGTGTGTGTTTGTGTGCGTGTGTGCGTGTGTGTGTAGAGTGTGCCTCGTCTCACGTACCTAAGCGCAATGGGGGCTTACAGTGCAGTTCAGGTGAGGATGCACAGAGGCTTATGGGTAGTAATGTTAGTCGGATGTAGCGATGATGAAGACTTGGAGGACATTGGGTTTGGAGAGGGCAAATAGATATAGATAAGTCTCTGGGATTCTGTTCACGGGGCCATAAGCAAAGATTACAGTCACTAAACATTTGTGGTCTCTCCCGTTTTGGCCATAAACTGTTTCCCCCTGAATGTTTGGGTGTAATGTGCCGGAACATGGTATTACAGAGGCCTATTCACAGAGCTGTAGAGGAGCAAGAACACAGGCACATGTGCTGATCCTGTGTGACTGTCCTTGTCGCATGTGTTAACGGGAAAATGAGGCCACACACCTCTTTGGTATGTGCCATGTGTTCTGTAAATAGTGCAGGTGTGATATGTATAGAACGGGCTGTGATACTTATATGGCAATATGGCAAACATGTTCAGCACACGTAGGCAGGGCAGTATGGGCAATTTTGTATCATGATATTAAAGAGTAAATTTGTGATAATGATATGGTTGACAGTGTACCTAAAGCTGCTTACAGTGGTATTTATAGTAGCGGCTCTAGATGAAACTATCATCGTGTCACTTGCCTAGTGTGAATGTGGCGTGAGGGTTGGTGGTTGGTGGGGCGAATGGCACAGATCTACCCCAGGGCAGCTGTAACTACCACTGTAGCATGCCTCAACTGAGTGTAGAGTAAATGAACAATGCACTGTGAAATGTTTCTGAGCACTATATAAATCTAATGTATTATTATTGTTAGTAGTAGTAGTAGTAGTACCAGTATTTCTACAAATGTATTTCAGGCTATTCAAGTTATAGGCACTAGGTTTTAAAATCAGATACAGTGCACATGCTGACCCAAGAGTGACAAAGCAAATGACAATACATCATGAGTAATAGGATATGGCCCAAACCTAAGCAGATGTACATATTTTTGTGTTTTGTGGTTACACATAAAAAAAAAAAATGCTACATGTAGAACAAAAAATAAATTATTCTCTTAAAATTGCTTTCTTTTTAACTAAAATCTTGTCAATTCTGTGGAAGAAAACAACAACAATCTTTCAAATGTTTTTTTTTCCTTATCTGCTACTTATGCTTCTTGTGTTATCAGTGTCACAATGATATTGGCACAAGACAAACTTAAGTTTAAGTTTTTGAAGCATACTCTGACTTTAGTACAGGGCATCTGGTGAAAAAACACACATTACATTCTGTGGTTTATATTCAGCTTGTCAGTGTTCATCTTTCTGTTATTTATTATTCTATACAGACAAAATTAAACCATTTTACATTCCCACAATTTGTCTTATCCACAAAGACAGGCTCTCTCCCACCATATGTTCTGCCAGGGGCTGTTTTATCTCCACCACACTCATGCCTCACCTAATTGTCATTGTACCGACAACAGCGGCAAAGACAGAAAAGTTTAGGTTAAACTATGCTTTATACAGCGCGTGTCCTTGTGTCCTATTACTGTCAGGCTAGTGTTATAATTAAGGCCGTGACAGCCCCTGGAGAGGACTGATCACCGCATTAGGTCTACGTGTGTGTTCGGCGCTGTCAGCGGCTGCACAAATACTCTAAATATCCCAGCACATAATGAATGACTTACACTCAAGAAAAAGGGCTCTGGGTAAGATCTGTTTCTGAACAGATGTGTCCTATTAATATACTGTACGTTGCATCTTTTCAAATATAAACTTTTATGTTTTCATCTTCTGTGATCATAGATACCTGTGTATTTGCGAATGAATATTTGAAAGACTTATTTGTTCAGTCTTAATTGTTCCATATTATGCACCTTGTGATGTCATGAAGCGGTAGTTTTCAAGTTAACAGCAACATTTTTTTACCTTTTCTTCAGTATAGAGATTGGCAATTCCAGGTCTGAAGTCATCCAAATGATTCTAGTGAAGTTACCACATGACATCACAAGGTGGAAGAGAGTGTTTTCTGTTTGAGAGAAGAATTCAGCCTAAATGTGCAGGGTTTATGTGTTAAACGTGTCTGAGTGAAACAAACACAACTCCAGGTATGATTATGATAAGGAAACAACATTAGAACATAGATCAGAAAATTGTAATTGGGCACTTGAAGTCAAAGTCCACATGGTTACTTATCCAGCCAGATCTGAAAAATTAAATCCACATTATTCAACTTTTTAACACAGCTTTTTTTTTTGTGGCAGTTTATTGGATTGAAATGTACTTAAAATACTAAAGCAAACATCTTTACTCTGAATGGGATTGCATCCCCACAAAACTCTTATTTGCCCACCCCCCCGCCTGTTTCCATGTTGTTCATTTCGCTATAATCTTCTTCTCTTCCACTAGTTCATAAAACTTCTATCTCGATGGAGAATGTTCTAAAGTATTATACGTATTTATAATTAAGGTGGCATGCAAGCACCAGAAAAGACATACAGATAAGATCATTTAAGACAGAATAATAAACAAAAGCACACAATAAAACAGTGGCTCTCAAATATGAGTGTTAATTCTGTGATTAACATGTGTGTTTGGGGCTGTCAGTGGCTTCAGAAATAATGAATGGCTTACACACAAGGAAAAGGGCTACAGATAAGATCTCTTTCTGCACAGATGTGTCCTATTAATATACTTCACACCCCATCAACTCAATATTCTTTCATCTTACTAATGCATTTTATTTATATAGCGCTTTCAGGACACTCAAAGACGCTTCACAGAACAATAATAAATGTCACTTTAAAGAGGATTAAGCAAACAAATTATGCAGAAAAGAGGAAATTTCATCTTCTTTGATCAGAGCTACCTGCACAGTATTTGTCTGATAGATTGCACAAAAGGTTATTTTCTTTATTTAAATTGTGATTCATTTTTTCATTTAACACAAATTGATTTGCTATTGATATCAGAATAAAGTTTGTAAACAGTGATTTTTAAATGAACCCAAGCATAATTAGATTGTATTATGCGTTTTTTTTTTTTTTTTTAAGTTTTCTAACATGTTATAACATTGCTCCCTCATCAACACATGTCAACCAAGACTAAACCAGGACTAAACCAGAACTAAACCAGAACTAAACCAGACTTAGAACCTCGAAATCTACAACAGAACCTGACTGTTTTCAAGACCATTCGCTGTTACTTGGTGTTCTTTATTTCCTCCCAAACTCCTAATCAACTGAGCGTGCCATTGTGTCATTGCTCACATCAATCCCCTCTCTCTTTCTGAGCTCCATCCAAGAGAAAGCGTCTTGATTTGCCTCGCCCTGCTCCTCTTGTGTGGTTTTACAATGACAACAGGCGAGGAGCGTGCGTGACAAAGTTAATGAGGGCACTGGGCTCACAATAAAAGCGAAAGAGCTGCTAAAGACGTGTTTTCTTGTGAATCAAAGACACCGTGCCCAGAATAAACCAAAGACTCTATACAAGTGTAAATAATTCAGTCGAGTCAGTTTACCCTCCTCCCGGTGGTTGCTGTGCTAGATATTTTCTTATTTGTCAAAGCGATTTGTTTGAATTTTAAACCCAGGAGAATAATCATCAAAACAGCACCCAGGCGCTCTGAAAACGTTTCTTGTTAAGAGCCTGTACCAGATTTCTTTTTCTGTGTTTTTGAGCAATATTTGTCTTGTCCCAGTACAGAAATATTGTATAAGCAGTGCAGAATAAGTCTACTGTGTACTGTTTGCATCTGGAATCATTTACTGAAAGATCTTAAATTGGAATCTAACGTGTCACTTGATAAGTTCAAGAAAATTATACAAAGTCCCGCAACTGAGACGTGCATGCAAATGGTTTTATAATGTGATACTTTGGGATTTTATCTTTTTCTTATTGATTGTGTTGGCTGCTTTCTTGGCCATAGCACTCTTTAAAAAAAGATTTTGATTGTCAATGGGACCTCTTGGTTAAATAAAGGTAAAATAAAATAAATAAAACCATCTAATTATCCATCCATTTTCTTCCGCTTATCTGGCGCCTGGTTGCAGGAGCAGGACTCTAAGCAGGGACTCCCAGACTTCCTTCATACTGGACACTTCCTCCCGCTCTTCCAGGGGGGACCCTAAGGCCAGGCCAGCCGAGAGACATAGCCCTCCAGCGTGTCCTGGGTCTTCCCCGGGGCTTCCTTTCAGTGGACATGCCCAGAACACCTCCCAAAGGAGACGCCCAAGAGACATTCGAAACAGATGCCCAAGCCACCTCAGCTGGCTCCTCTCAATGTGGAGGAGCAGTGGCTCTACTCCGAGCTCCTCCTGTGTGTTTGAGCTCCTCACCCTATCTCTAAGGGAGCACCCAGCCACCCTGCAGAGGAAGGACCGGTTGTATCTGTGATCTTTGTCCTTTTGGTCAATCTACGGTCCTACCCTCAACTATGGTCATGAGCTTTGGGTAATGACTGAAAGGGCATCTTGTTATACTGCGTTTAATTACCTGATAATCATGAAGTGCATGGTTAGCTGACTGGAAAATTCCACTCTGGTTTTTGCAATTTATGAAAAGTGCTTACAAAAATATCTCTGTGAATAAATAAGATGCTCAGAATGTATAATGTAAATAAGGTAGAGAATAATTTTGGACCACTGCAAACTGTTTAAAATGATCTAGTTCAGTTTTTTTTTTTTTTTTTCCCAGTAAAAAACATGTACAGCACCTTTGATAGTTGTTCTCCTCTCTCTGTCTCTCTGTGTTGGTTTGTGTTGCAGTTGCGTACCAGGTGAAGCAGGGCACGTGTGAAGTGGTGGCTGTGCATCGCTGCTGTAATAAGAACAAGATTGAAGAGCGCTCCCAGACCGTCAAGTGCTCATGCTTCCCCGGACAGGTCGCCGGTACCACCAGAGCCAGGCCCTCCTGTGTGGAAGGTAAAACTCACGTTGTGCATGCAGATGGGTACTATTCTATATGTTAAAGGTGCATTGTGTAACCTTTCTGGTGGAGGGAACGTCACCTGCTTGTTTCTATGGATATGTCATTGCTCTGCCTGGAATGTTCCATAACAGGGGTCTCCAACCTGTAGCTCGGGAGCTACCAGTAGTTCTCCCTTCCAAGTAGCTCGCCATGGGATATCAGAATTATATCATTGTGCTGAATAACAAAAAAACGGGTTAATTATGAACTTTGTAAATGTATCATTTTGAAGCCCAACTTTGTGCACCAATAAATGGATGATGGTTTATGTTTTTTAGGTATCTAACTGTACCCCAAGTCTTGCCCTCTTTCTTATGATCATCTCAATTTCTTGCGGCCGCTAAAATGAGTAGCTCTCTGGCATTTATGTCTTGTAAAGTTTCCTCACCGGAGGAAAAAGGTTGGAGACCCCTGTTCCACAGTATGACACTGAATAGCTGTACCTTACCTTTATTAAATTACAGGTTTTATAGCTTAAAAATATCAAGAAAAAACAGGCATTCTGATTGTGAGTGGTTCAATTAGTTGACTAGTTTTTGTTTCAAGTGTCCCCAATGAGAATATTAAGAATAAGATGACCTATTGATAAAAGACAAATTGTTTAAATTTCTTTTTTGACTCTGATTGGGGCTGATGCTAACTTTGTTATAAAAAGTCTTTTAGGTTTTGTTTTAAACTAGAGTATATAAAGAGTGTGTTTTTATATTGCTAATATAAAGTGCTATAAAGGTAAGCACTGGCAGCAAAATCTAAATCAGCGGGACATTGCTGTTCTTACATTTGACCAGTAGAAGGCACTTGCACATTGTACCATAAAGACATCTGCTCCATTCACTCCTGCACTATTTCCTCTCAACAGAATCAATTCATAATGTTGTTTAACCCTGTGATATGATCTTTGATGAAAACAATTGTTAGATAGTGATGCAATCAGGCAACCATTGCAAAGATGACTGGTTTTGTAATGGAGCTTGGGGGAAAAGATAATTGGGTGAAAAGTTTAAAACCTTTTGAGATAGGATTTTTTTATTGTAAGTACAAGCAAACTTAAGCTTACAATTGCATAATATAAATTGTTGTTTAATTATCACAATACAGATACTTTCCTGGTTTATGTTTTAGAGCTAATAACTAAATCTGCACACGGAATTGCTACAGAAATCCGCATTGTTTTTCAGTTCCTTCATTTTTTTCTCATACAAAAGAACCATGTGTGTCCCTGATTGGCTAATCCACCTGTGAGTCACGCTCATTTGAAAACAGGGAGACTAGACTCAGATCTTCGTAAAGTTTAGAGTAAAGAGTCTATTCTGCATCCTGGGCAACACATGAAACAGAAACTGGTACAAACATCATCTTATCTGTTAACAAAACTGAAATAAGCTTTTTAAAACTATAAAGGCAAAAGTTGTAGCATCATTCAGTATATAGTGAACAATACACGACTTGCCATACTCTATACAACTGTAGAACAACTCACCCTTGTGTAACAGATAACCTTATGTCACCACCATTTCATCTTTACCACACCCACTGTATATCATAGCCTTGCCTCCTTTAATTATTTCAAATTTTATTACCAGTTATTATTTTTTGATCATTGTTATTGTAATGTGTGTGCCACAGTGCCAACGTTATTTCCCTTGTGGACCAGTAAACACTGTTGAAGTCTAATCACAAAGGCATGCCAGTTGAAAGTGCTGTTAGCCAAAAGATAAACAGAAAGTTTGTTTGTGTACTGTGAAGATTATAGCCAAAGGAACAACATTTACATGGAGACAAGCAGGTGCAGACCAAATAAAAATCAGGTTTGTGAAGATGCAAGTCTGCTCACAGTAAGGAGCAATGCAATAAAATCAACTAAAATGCATTTATTGTAGTCTATTTTTCAGGTAAATGTTACGTACTGAGGCTTTAGCAACAGCCACCCGCACGTATAATTTTTCAGTGTTGTCATTTCATATTTGGCTCTCATCTGTGCTCCTTACCTCCTCTTGTGCCCTGATACAAAGCACTTTTCTTATGAGTCATGGTGACCTCTAGTCTCACAGTGACAAAGAGCTCGCCTCATCCCACACACGCGCACACACACACACACACACACTCACACACACACATACTATTCACCTTTTCGGCTGGGGCTCGTACTGCAGACAAAACCCTCATTGAATGGCCTTTGTAAGCCTCAGTGTAAATGGATTGATCATGAATAGAGGCTAAAAAGAGAAAAATGGCAGCAGACTTTGAGTGTATTATGAGCATAAGCTGTTTAAAGGGGATATTGAGTTTCCTTACTGTATTAATTCTCATATTTTTCTACCAAACTAATGTTTATGCTGTAATCACACTTAAAAAGTTATCACAATATTAATGCAAGTGTAAAATGCTTGATGACTAAATCCCATTACTCAGACTAACATAGACATGGTGACTAGATGCTTGTGTTGGTCAATTCATCTAGGCAGTAAAGTAGTTCTAGATTCAACTTGGAAGCGAGAGATACAGGACTTCTTATTTTGAATGTATTATTACCATTTCTTTTGGTGCTCTTTGTTAGTATAATGTATTGTGTGATGTGTGAGCTATTGTGTCCAAAAAATGTCCCATGTAGATCAATAACGTTTGTCTAAGTCTAAGAAAACAGTTCCAAGCCTGGAAAAATTAAAGTCACCATGGCAAAGGTAACTCCAATGCCATTTTTATTATACTGATGACAACTGTAATCTTGATGTTATACATTATACTACACACTTTACTTCAGAGAGTGAATTCTTGGATTTCACATGAAACTTGGATGAGTCCTCTATATGCAGGTTAAGGCATTGGCAACTCAGGTTTAGTTGTGATTGCAGTTTTTAAACCAGTAAATTAAGATGTAATGCAGTATTGTTTTAGGAAACAAGTAAAGTAACAGCATGTACTGTGCACATATTCATCATGACTATTGACTATACTACACCTGAAGGACTGACTCATTTATTAGTCATGTTTAGGGAGACACTGTAGATTAGATGAGTGGCTTTGCTCCAGGATTTGTAGAACACAACAAGCTCCCATATCAATTATAAGTGAGAACAGAATTTAACCACAATTGCAATCACAACTTTTAACAATTCTAATAATTGCACAACCACACTATGTATACAAATACATTGCTTTTGGTTTACTTTGTTCTAAGTCAAATAGCCTTCCTATATCCTGATTTATGTTAGCTTGAGGATTTAGGAGTTAGTCTGACTTGTAAAAAATTTGATTTTTATAGTCTTTGATCTTTTTTCTTGAAATCTTAAAAAAAAAAAAAAAACTAAAAACGCTATTCTCTGATCTATGTTATAATGTAATTTCCTCACTAAACACAAATCTGGAGTTTTTTTTTCATTTGCACATGTTTAACACGCAAACCTAGCACATTCTGGCTAGTTCTTTTTAGTTACTTCTCCTCTCAAATGGAAAACACTGTTCTACCTTGTGATGTCATGTGGTAATACAGGAATTCTCCACTGTGCAACATCATACACCTTCACTACAATCATTTCAATCACAATCAATTCGGATAATTTTAGACCTGGAATAATTGCTTATCTCTACTGAACAAAGTTAAAAGGAAGTTCTTTATTTGAAAACTAACACTACATGACATCACAAGATGCACAGAACATTTTTAGCTTTGGAGATGTGGATAGACTAATACTAAATGGTTACTCAATCATGTGTGAATGAAACAAAACACAACTCTGAGTATGTTTTTGAGGAGGTAAAAGCACTACAATATGACTAAAAACTTACAGCAATTACTTCTTTGTAATACAGGACCTTTAAATATGATACAATCAAAGAGTTGGAATGACTACTTTTTTAATGTTCCATGTTAATGTTTAATATTCCAAGCAGATATTCAGTGATATGTTAAACTGTTGAACATCATGAATCATTTTGAACATGCATAACTTGCTTCTGTTTACCATGTCTGATATTCTGATATATTGTTGTTGTTGGTGTTTTGAGCAATAGCTTAGCACGTGTATAATCTTTCCGCTGACAGTTTTTTGAGTGCAGCGCGTTGTTGAGTTTTGGTCATGCGTAACTGGGTGTGCTGCCACGCTGAGGTAAGCCTGAGCAGCAGAGACGCACTGTATTAGTAAATCAGCGTGGAAGGAGATGGATGGCCCTCTCCCTGTGCGCTGCCTCTACTGAGACTAGCCAGTGGAACAATGCCTCCCGGAGGAACCTTGAGAGTGTGTGTGTGTGTGTGTGTGTGTGTGGGGGGGGGGGGGACACTTTATATTGACCCAAAACAGAAATGACCTGGGGTAGGGGTACGGTCAAGTTGTCATTCTTAAAGTTGAATAGGTCTATTGTGCAAGGGGTTCAAGGAAATTGTCCTTTTGAATTATAAGAGTCTGAATCTGTATTATGGATAGTTCTGAGATGTTGAAGTTTATACTGTATTTCTGAGCACTTACAGAGCACAATGGAAACAGGAAATGGGGTTTTACTCATATAAACAAAATTAACAAACACTACTACAATACTTAGGTGCACTGTGTAATATTTGTGGTGGAGCGTCTTCCTGCAGCTTGTCCCCATGGATATGTTATTGCTTTGCCTGATATGTTCCACAGCATGACATTAAGCATATATGTTTCCATGACAACATTCAAGTAACGCCACCAGATCAATTTGTGTAGATGTTTCCTTTAATAACATAACTTAAATGGCATAATAACTAAACCAGAAATGTTACACACTGCGCCTTTATATAAATTTGTGAAAAATCAAATGACGATCAGCCATTCTGGAAAGATTATGTCATGAGTGAATCATTTCCATATTTAAACAACCTTTTTGTCTCATTGCTCAATCCCATCTCTTATACTGTGGTCCAAAGCAAAGAAAGTATCTGGCAAGGGCTTTTTTTTTTTTTGCCAAAACGTTATTTAAAAATGGAAGAAGC